GTTACCATGAACATGACCCTCACATAACCCTTATGACCCTCACGAAATTCATTAATTTTATGACTGTTATGACCCTAATGGCGCATTTGAAGCTCAAGTTAACGATCGCATAAGTGTCAAGTGACCCTTATATGATGAGGATATACTGACGTGTGACACAGGAAATTTCACAAATATCTACTGCAACTACTTGAATATGCAATCGACTGATGAATCTATTTGGATAACATCTCCGGAAACATGGAGACATCTATAAATATACGAGTCACATTTCACGACAGCAACGCCTCTTCATTCGAACAAATATAGTTCATCAATAAGATCTAATGGGTGCACCGCACATGCAAAAATGAAAAATCAATTCGACAAATACCGCAGCAGTCTTCCACGGCAATGAATACAAAAATAAACCGCTCCTCGTGCTCCACATTTTTCTAGTTATTTCCACTAACAGCATGACCATTATTCATCCGTATATCTGACCCCAACATCAAATAATTTCGTAGTTCGCTAAAATATACCCGGGTAAGAGCACCCAGCATATGTATGCGCATCATTCATTAGTTCGTAGATTAGTTAATTTATCGACACTGATCTCCATTCGTATTTATAACCACCAGACGTGTCATCTAGGTTGTTTAATAATTCAAATAGAAACTCTGAAGTCGTATACTCTTATAATGTGAATCGGAAGACTATTCTGGGAAATGGAAATCATCAACTTCATAAAAATGAATAACTCGAGTCAAAAAATAATCAATGTACATAAATTTTTGACGATATCTCCCCCATGAGAATTTCTCCCCCAGACTTTCATCCCCAATGGCATTTTTCTTCTACGAAATGTCACACGTAAAAAATAATCTCCCACTTCCCCATCCGCAGAATGATAAAAAACTCTGTCTCAGCAGAAGTTGATTTCACTCTGACAAAAAATTAGACAGTTCATTATTTTCATTCGCTGCGGACTCGCCTAACGTGCTAGTTAGGAATAGTACAACTCGTGTCAAGTACTTCTTCCAGCTTTTCTTCACTCATTTCCACCATTAATTAATGCGGATAATCCGGAGTTAGCCAGACCAAATGGTACAGTTGTGTAATCAAAGGGGATTACGGTATGAAGTATCATTAATGAAATCATTCAAAGTCAGCTTGAACTTGTTGAATCTCGGGGTTATAGTGTTTCGTATTACAATGGAGACTGCTGTTTCAGCAGTGTCTTCTAATATCAGGAGATTCGAAATTTCAAAAGTATGGGGAGTGTGGAGATGCTCACAAAGAGGCATCCTGTGAAGGTGGGATGGAGACTTTACGATGTGCACTTTAAACCGTCAAAGGAAATTCTCCAGCCTCTGGAGACATTTCGCGAAAGTTTGAAATGTTGTATATCATTACTCCGAGATTATATTCAGTAGAACGTTGGAGATATGGGGGTATTGAACTGAGACTTTCAGTGGATAGTGGTGGGTTTCTTGGAACAATCTGACATTTTGTCGAGGTGCTCAATCCTAGAATCATGCTGGAGATGAACAAAACGTTTGGAAATTGTTATTTCTAACGATCGTAAATGAGAATGTTAAGTGTTGACTCAATCCAAATTCAGAAATTAAATACAGAATCATCATCATTAAGGTAATGAATATGAACGAGCCGCTGATCCTTTCCACCAGCCGTGTCTCTGACTTACGGACTAATGAGCTTTTCAACCTGCAAGCGAATTCTTGTACGACGAAACAGCACGTAATCTCTATGAGTTTGGTCATCGGTAAGACAATTGCAACAAGTCCTCATGATTACGACTGAAGAATGCTGTCAGCTTGACTGTATTCGCTATTCAGTTATTAAAAACGATGAAATTTTTCAGAAATGAGATAAGTTAATCAAGATCAGTGATTTTCACCTAGAAACTCATTCCGGACAAGATGCAAGTTATATTCCTAGGTAAACCAAGTTGAAGCAATTATCCTTATCACGTTTATTAACATCGAACCACCGTTGCCTCTTGCATTTTAGCCCCACTAGAACCTAACAACTGTCTTCCTCCTTCTCATTCAATAACTCTGTCACTCTTCATCACGCGCCTGGAAGCCACAGTGCGGTTGTAGAATTTCCATTCTATCGTGTTGTACCTACGAGAGAAATGATTTACGCTACTATCTTTTGCATCTGGCAACTCATATCCTTTGACTGCGCAACCACAAGGCATCGTAAATAATTAATTTCATGTTCTGTTTAGCTCTCTCTGACACGGCGATGAGGTGCTTTTGGATTCCTATTTTGGAAGGGACTGTGTCTAGTTTGAATTTTAAATCACGGATTGAGGTGGTGACCTAGTCAGTGAGTTTATCTAAAGTCATGATTGAGTTTGGGATATTTGGGGGATGGGACAGAATATATTTGAATCACAAAAAATCAATTGTGTGGAGTCGATATTTGGACGCGGTGAGACTGATTCAGGATCAGGTACAGGTGCGGTGAGCGTCGGGATTTTTAGGAGACCTTTGGTAAGGGATTGTTATCACGTGCGCACAACAACATGATTAGCTTTCTGATACAATAGATCAGATCCACAGATAAATCAGATCATGATTTCGGGCGGAAAATCTCATTATTCAACCTGGACATGTCTCTGAAACGTACAATCAGGTTCGTAATTCAGCCTGATCAGGCTCACATCGCGATGTAGATTGGTTTATCATATATCCTATGTCTGATATAACTTGATGTGGATCGTAACTCAGCTGATTCCATGGGCAGAAATACCTGATCAGGTTTTTGGCGTAGCTTAAGCAGGTTTTGAAAATATTCAATTCAATTTACAATACGACCCGAACAGGTCTGCGAAATTTTTCCATCGAAACCGTAGAACAATCTATCAGGTTAGAATCAAAACCTGATTCGGCCCATTAACGTAATAAAACCTGATCAAGTTCATGCTGAGCGCGAAGTTCATGGTTTAGTCCACAGGAAATCAGGACTATTTAGAAAACTAAGTGACTGGATATTTCGACCTGTTTAGGTCCACGCCGAAACGTGATCAGGAGCTTGACGATCATAAGCTTTCCTTTATAATAGAAAGCACAGCCCAATATTTTCAATTATTATCCCAACATCTCAACTAGATTGAAGCGAAAGGTACCTTAAACCTGATCAGGTACGTTGATGTCAAAATTTATCACGCACTGAAAATATGTCACAAATAAAGGCGTGATCTGGTACCGACAATCGAATCTCTTTCGCATGAAATCCGGTATTATAATCCTGATTTGTGCCTGATTGAAAATCAGGTCTTGCGGCTAATTTTCTGAGTAAATCTATCAATCACATTTTTAATCAGCCATAACTCGAAAATGGTAGAGTGGAATTCAAAAAATCTTACGCCATTTCCAAGATTATGTTCGAAGCCTCAGAATAAAGCACATTTCATTCAAATCGCATCGTTCGGTCACCAGATATTGAACATTCAAAAGGACTCATCTCATTCCGACTTCAAAGTTACCCTCGGGTATTTCTAACGACAGTCTCCGCAAACATTTTCACCGACTCCTTTGCTATCTTTAACGGCCATTTGGCTTTCTGGGATTACAAAACTTGCGGATTACCATGGGGCTGAGTACAGATAGACAGAGGGACGGAAAAAAGAGAAAAATGTAATTTGCATCTTAACTAATCTCAAGCGGGTAAGGAGACGGAGAGCGCTAAATTTCATTATATCGAGGGGAAAATTTTTCGGTCGAGATTATGTTGCACACAAGAAGGGGGGATTATTCCACCCGGAAAAGTTAAAAACTGCAGTTAAATAATTTCCCTCGAAAATTCAATTCTATCAACCTGAAAGTGCTTTTTTAAAATCAATTCACCGGGATTAAGTGGGCACAGCAGAAAGTAGATAGCGACTGAAACTGTGGAAACAGAAGTGTGGAGAGAGCGGAAAAGTAGTCGAAAGCCGGGGGGGAGAGAGTTGGTGGAATGAGAGCTGTCGAGATATCTCTCGACTGAGGGTGCAGAAAAAATAATTACGTTTGATGGAAGAATTCAGGGCGAAACACTCGGAAACTTGAGGTACTCTGAATATTGGACTGTTAAGGCTATTTAGGGAAGTGTCGTGCGAGATTTTTATGGGGACTGCCAGCCCCTCAATCAGATTTAACATCGGGTGGGAAATTTTGTCGTCAATATGCGTCCGGTGGAAGTAATTCAGGGTCTTTCAGAGAATTATGTAATTTCCGGGGGAGGCGTTTCTGAAGAATTTGGCGAGAGAAGTCTTGAGGGCTTTCATCTTTTTCTTGGGGAAGAATTGGATTGTGTTCGATGGAGTCTGTGATCGGATGATGGGTGTATGGTGCTGAGAATAGGGGTTTCTTGCAGCACAAGTCCATCTGGGAGAATCGGAATTGGAAGTAGAGAAGGGGAGGAATTCATGAGAGAGCGAGTGCTTCATGAAGTGATGGAGTCAGACCCCCAGGGGTGATCACTGTCATTATTCTTGCAGACAATAAGGTCTTCACAAATGTCTTGAACAAGGGGATGCAATAGGCTTCATCAGGATCAAATGAAGGTCACAAGAAAAATCATAATCAGAAAACAATACACTGCACTAGATTATTGTCACTTCGCGATGTTTCGGTTATAATTTAAGCTTCCTCAGAATTCTAGAAACCAAAGAAGTTCAAAACAACCACCTCAATTAATAAAATATTACGAAACGTACGTTAATAAATGTAAGAATTTAATTTCAAATGCAATTAAATTTTTAATAGATTCAGAATTCAGAAAAGTTTTTTCCGGAATTTTTCCTATTTTGAATATCTATCAGTGGCACATGGATCTGGAAATCGAGAATTAATTGTAATAATTAATATATATGTATAATTGTAATAATTAATATATACAGAAATTTCATGTAACTTTATCGTTGTTAAAAATTTCAAGCTTGTTCACTTGAGATTTCAAAAGTAATTTTCTAACAGTGCGGATTATTAATAATTCATTGTCCTTACCTTGTATGGCCCGAGACTCTCCACAATGCACGTGAAAATGGCCTCTCGTCCAACTGAGACCGTGAGATTATTCAGGGGCTTGCCGAATCTCGGTAGATCTGCAACATCATCAATTTATCGGAGTGAATATGCCACCGTAAAGCGACTGAAAAGTACCAGATTTAGAGTAGATTGTCGTGTACTCTAAATTCATACAATTTGTGACCAACGAAATGCCTCTTCCCTCTCGCTCAATTCACTCTCCGCACAAGCACTCCCTCATTTCAGACTCCATTTTTGTATCTCGTTGAGAGTACAAAAAAATCTCGTGGTACCAAACTTTCGGGAACTATATACATAGTCGAAGAACTGGAGCTGACGGCAAGTGAGTTCAGGTAAGCGGGTCAAGCGAGGATTAAGCGAACTCTTCATTTATTAACGCGTGCCCTCAACATTTCCCCCTTCAGGGGGATTTTTTTCCACACCCCCGGGGTAATGCTTTCAATGTGCAAAAACCTCGGGACAATTTTTTCCCTTTTTTTTATTTTAACTAAAGCGCATGCGGTTACGGTGGGAGAAAAAGTTGTGCGAGTGATTTCGTTTGGAGGGGTTTCATTTTTTTCAAAAGCATAAGAAATTTTTCACAAACTCTTGTAATAAGTTTAAATGATTTCCTGACTCGGCATGTTGCATGGCTTTTTTTGAAAATCGTTTTGCAGGGAAATGATGGTTTTCACGAGTTTAGTTCTCGTTTCTCTGAAAATTCAAGTAAAGCCCCAATTTACTTGAATAGGAAGACGGAAATTCCACAATTTACATGAATTTCCAAGTGAAAATGAATATTCACTGCCAAATTCTCGTGAATTTTCTGGAAATTCCTTAAGAATTCTTGGAACTCCAGGATTTTTTAAAGGAATTCCCTGAAAATTCAGAAGAATCTGAAATTTAAGCAGATATTTCCTGATTTTTCATCAATTTTCCCAGAATAATCAAACTGAAATTTACAGTCCCCAGATTTAAGATGAATACTTTCTTCTTAAATCTTATATGAAGATTAAACTCTATCTGTCTTTTTTTTCCTTCAGTTTAATCGACAATAAATTATTGATTATTTATTCAACTCCCCTAAATTAAAAGAGTTATAATACGCAATAGAATTTAAATCGAGACAATGTTTCCAGATATCCATCGAATGAGTCGAGAGTCACTGAACTCTCCCTCAAAGTCATAATAATATTTCATTCGAATTTGAACCTCCTGCAACAATCCTCACATTGTTGATATCATGTAAGAGATTCGCGAATAATCCCAGCAACAGTTAAAACCCCAAGAGTATAAATACAAACGGTGTACAAATTTGCGCTGAGAGCAGTAACCAAAGTGCAATATATTTTCCACTCAACCTTCTCCCGGGATGATACAACCCTCACTCCCCAAACGGTGTACATGCATCACGAATACCAAATGCCCACTAATCCTCGGTATGACCTGCGAACGCGTGAGAAATCCAGACTCACACTCTTCCAACGGATTACCTCGAGCGCCGAAACCCAGGGAGTGTATAACAAATAGGGGACGAGATAGAACAAAAAATTTCAAGTTGGTGCAGTCCCACTGCTCCTCAGATTTCCATGATTCTCGACAGTTCTTTAAATCTAATTCAGTTTCATTTTTCAGGAATTGTTTATTCGGAAGGATTTAATTAAATTAAAAATTCAGAATAAATTCGATTTGACTCTTATGACCTTTATGAAACCGTTTAATGGCCCTAGATGACCCTTCAATATGAGCAATATAATTCTTTTGTACTCTATGACCATTTTAACCCTTGTGCCCTTCCTTACCCTTATGCCATTTGACCCTTATGAATGTTGGATATATGATCTGACCCTTATGACATTCTAACCCTTATCGATATCGGATATATAATCCGACCCTTATGCCCTCCCGGCCCTTACGAATGTCAGATTCAACTCTGACCCTCACGACTTTTTGAGCCTTACGCCGAAACATCGTCGAACATCTATTAGCCTGACCCTTACTAGTGTTGTTGACCCTCATGAACTCTTCTGTATATCACCCATAAAAAATTCAGACCCTTCACACAATTTCCTCAATTCATAAAATAAACAAATTCAAACTTTTAATTGCAATTACCCGAATTAAGATTGAATACATAAAAAAGATTTTGCAACTCTCTCAACCAGACACTTGATTAAGGAAACTTGCGAGTGCCCCAGTAAAAACTCTATCCACGTCTATAAGTAGCAGTTGATGTACCCTCGACTGCGCACGAATCCCTCCCCTTCGCGCCCTTCCCCAGAGGCACACAATCTCTCGCCTTCCTCCGCTCCGAAAAAATTCCCCCGGTGATACTTTCGACTTCTTTTCCAGCTGACTGAGTATATCTGGTCCTCTTCCTCTCCAACCAGCCAAATGATTTAATTCACTGAAACATGATTCCCCATTACAATCGAACAGACATGGTTTCCTGTATTATGTCTACTTTATGGAATAAAGAATTGTGCGGTTATTGAGGAGTCCCCGGAAATAAGTTGAAACGAGACACGCGGATGCTTCTGAAGTCTGCGCACGATCACATATTACTGTGAGAGGCATGCGATGCTGCCTCCAGCAAATAAACCGTAACGATCCTATTTGTAATCGAGGAATTTCGATGTAGAGTCGGTGTCTGGAGGGCAGACAAAAGAGACTTTGTTTTAGAAAAAAATACGGGATCTGTGATTGATGAAAAAATGGGTGGAAAAATGTTTAAGATGCTTGGGAAGAATATAAAATTACTTTTTACTGTGGGAACGTAGTAATTCTTAATGTGTGAATTCACATTCTATTTAATGCATTCTATTTAATAGAATGCAGGATTTGCTATTTAATTTAGTAATCTTTGAGAAATTTAGGAGGAGAAATATGAATTTTTACTTCGTCGGTAAAAAAAATATTTCCCCTCCCTTCCAAAGTGAATATTGACGGAAGACGGTGAGAGGGATTTTTTGAATAACCGAAGTGAAAAACCATATTTAGTCTTCTTTATCATAGTTGAAAATTATTATCAATAATTTTGCTCCACGTATATTCATCCTGAAAAAGAGGAGGGGGGAGAGGAAGGAATCAATTTTTTAGAATTATAGAATCCGCCAGCCGGGCCATTGCGTGGTCGATAGAGGGAGAAGATTCCAATAATTGAAAACAAGCGACGCTCTCATCATCCACCGGAGTTTTTACTAGTCAACACAGTAATTTCTGCTATTTCCTCGAGTAACATGTAGGAGGCGCGAGAGTATAAACTAAAATTTTAAATAGAAAGAAAAAATTACAATTTAACCTAGTAAAAATTCATACGATTTAAGTAATTTCTCCTTGTTCAATAGTAAAAATTGATCAAGAAATCAAGCGTTTTTAACACTTTTGAAAATTCTTTTCAAATTGTTTCCGTAAAAAATCAATTTTGGAATTTCATATCGAATAAAAATAATTTTTACTTGGATCTCTATCAATTATAGCTACATTACTTTAAACAGCTGACGGCTTGAATGAGGATTCCCCCACGCCACTCGTCTCATTTATCCTCCATTACGTAATTCGTTGAGCTTTACTTCTGAATCTCCAATATTTTGGAGGCACATAGTACCTATTCATCCGCTCAACCCATTGTTTTTCAATCCTCCGTTTAATTATACCGGAGACTCGTACTCTTATCAAACGTCCGTACGTCAGACAGCTCGGGTTCTCCTCGAATGGATTACGAGTCTGATGGTTGGAAATGTCAAATGCACATAATGTCCCTCACTCTGTGAACGAGGACATCATGATCTAGACTCCCAATGAATTCCGCCGCTTTACGAGTTTTTAGTCTCATAAAAATGAAGTGACCATGCTTATGGATTTGGAAAGAGATTAACCAGCCAGTTTTCATTTAAAAAACCACGTGAACCTTTTTTCACTCGAAATTTATGGGTAAACATCGCATTTGGACATGACACATCTCGATATGTATACAGAAATTTAATTTCACGAATGAATTCTAAATTAATTTGTCCTCTAGATGGTTACAAAACTTAGTCTATGATTTCTATGACATTACGCTCAGTCCAGGCACCCGATAGGATATTTGCACGTAAAAAGTTCTCCCGAAGCAGGTAAACAACCGCCGGAAGATAAAAGAAAACCTCAATGAAGGAATCGTGACAAAGAACGAAGAGTAGAGAGTCACGAAACCCCGTCCGTTGTACGACTTCTACGTGCTGACCCATGAAATCGGTGACAGACCTAGAGGGAAAGATATCACTGAATGGTGGCCACACTGGGATGGATTGAGGTTACCAAGGGATGAGCAGTCTGAATTGATGAGGGACCACTGGCACTGATGACAACCAGCCCAACATCTGTTGTCAGCCGAGGTCCATCAAATACCCAGTTGAACCCACTAATCTAATTTATAATCGCACGTGACACGTTAAAGTAAACGGCCTCTTGACGCGGCTAACGAAGCGATGAAGTTTATCATCGCGAGACATTTCGTTCGGTACAACTCATGATTTAACGATGATTCCTCGAATGAAGATGACTTTAATATTGTAATAAGTGAGCAGTGAGAGCTGCTGGCGACAGAACAGAACAGACAAAGGACCGTTCAATAATTACCCGTTCAAACTTCTTAATGAGATTGTTGCAAAATCGATGGAGAGAAAATAGCGCGTCACCTCGTCAAGTTGTGTAATAACTGATGCTAACAATCTCGAATAATTATGAAAGACCTGTGCACTTAATTTCTTTTTACAAAAGTTGGTTAAGAAAATATTTACACTTTGAAAACATAACGACACTAAATTGTTTTTCAATGTTGTTTAGATTTTTAGAGTCACTAATATTGTTTATATTTTTCACTTGATTTTTGTTGCTCATCTAACCGAGCTTTTGGTGTTGTTGAAGGCAAAGATGCTGTAGACTTGGAACTAACTTATTTCTATTTCTTATTTTACTACAACGTATACTACTCTCAACGGAGGAAGGAGTCTCTTTGCGATTGGTTAGAAATGTAATTATCCCTCATACTCAGGCTTCAAGAATTGTCGAATTGAGAAGTTGTTTTACGACCAAA